CGAACTGCAGAACTGCAGTCAGCTGAAGTGGCCTGCAGTGCTGCATTTAACCACTGCGCCACCTCGGCTCTGGTGGCCCGCAGCGAGATGCACAAGCCACGCTCACCCATATTCCGCAGAGGCAAAAAATGCCGCGATACAACACATAACATCACGATGTCACATGGCGCCAATTGAGTTTGACACCCGTGATCTAGACCTTCATCTTGAGCCTGACATTTAAAAGCAAATCTGAATCATGACGTAATTGATTGATTAATGACCTAAGGTGATTTTTTTGTTTTTCTTCCTCCTCCTTATCAAAAGCTTACAGACCTTCTTGTTGGATGGGAACTTCCTCCAAAGCCTTCCAGCCGAGTTGGAAAGGATGCATCAGCTTAGTTATTTAGGACTCTCTTTCAATGAATTCAGTGACATTCCTGAAGTCCTGGAGAAACTGACTGCCATGGACAAACTCTGCATGTCTGGGAATTGTATGGCGACACTACATTTGCCAATACTAAGGAAAATGCCACACATAAAACATATAGATCTAAGGTATGTATCATCTGAGAAAAAAGATATGTATCAATGTTAAATGGCTAGCAATAGCAATAGCAGTTAGACTCATATACCGCTTCATAGGGCTTTCAGCCCTCTCTAAGCGGTTTACAGAGTCAGCATATCGCCCCCAACAACAATGCGGGTCCTCATTTCACCCACCTCGGAAGGATGGAAGGCTGAGTCAACCTTTGAGCCGGTGAGATTTGAACCGCTGAACTGTAGAACTGCAGTCAGCTGAAGTGGCCTGCAGTGCTGCATTTAACCACTGCGCCACTTCGGCTCTGTTAACTATTTTAACAGATGGTGTCAAGCCAAGATGGATTTATCTTTCTTTAAAAAAAGATATATTTTCAAGATACTAGTGGTGATTAGCATATACTTCCCAGCCAGACTATTCCTTGCTTTTTTTATTCACATGGTGTTTTCAGCTGATTTTTGGCACAATTCATCGCTTTATGGCAAGATTATTGCTTGCTGTTTTTAAATGGTCTGTACTTTCAATTGAGAAACGTATTAAGCAGAAATATTTACTTTTTGAATTCAGTCTCACTGACTTATTCAGTTAGATATTAATCTTTCCTTTCCTTTAATTACAGATTTGTCATGATGAATTGGTTCTGGGGGAACTCTGATTATTAGCCAAAAGCTTTAGACTGCCTAACTTTTCTTCGGCTTCAAAATATGCTTAGTAATTCATTCTGACCTCTTAACTAGGGACAATTATTGAAAACTTTGGGAAAGATGAGAAAAGAGAAGGCTAATGTAGCCCGTTGTTAAAATATTATTTCATATTATTGTTGAAATGTAATTATTACATAGCTCCTTATTTGTGTTTAGTGGAAATTTGTAGAGAGTCAGAAACTCAGAACTTTACACGCTTTTCAGGACATGGATATATATGATAACAGACCAGGCAGTTCTCCCTTATCTATATTTGTCTAAGACCGGCTTCCTGTTAGATTATTCTAATTTAATTTTGAGAGTTTGCATACACGCACAGTGGCCATTTTGAACCTGAAATAATTATATACATTGGAGCTATATTAAATTTGCCCCAAATTTGTCAGTAAAATTGGACTGCATCGTTTTATTTCCCACGATTTTGGCTGAAGTGCTTCAGTTTGTTTTTCTGTTTGCAGGAATCACCTGCTTCTTAAAACACCATTAACTCCTTTTTACTAGTGGATAATTGATTTCACAAAGAAGATGTGTGTTACATTTTAGGGAAAAAAATAGCAATTTTTTTTATTATTATGATGCAATTATTTTCTTAGGGTTTTTTTTTAATAACTTTTCTTTTTATCCCAAAGCAGTGTTTTGATTCAGCAATTTAGTCATCCATCTCATCTGTTTAGCCCTGAGAATTAAAATTCAGAGGACTTTCAGATGGCCAGTTTGATGGCTCTCTGCAGATAATTTTTATTTATGTAAAAAGTCACAAGTTTTCTTGTTTATTTGGAGTTCATTACGAACTGGTTTGGTGCAAAAATCTGTCCTACTCTTTTCAGCAATGAGATTTGGATCACGATATTGTCACTATATACATACAGTCATGTGAAAAGGAAAGTACACACACTTTGAGTTCTGTGGTTTTATGTATCAGGACGTGGCAAAAATCATCTGGTGTTTAACAATTCTTAAAAGTAGGTAAATACAACCTCAGATGAACAACAACACATAACATATTACACCACGTCATCATTTATTTTACCAAAAAAAAAAGCCACGTTAAGGACCAGATGATATTTACCATTTGTTACTACATAAAATCATAGAACTCAAAAATGGTTTAATTTCTTTTTCACCTGACTGTATATTCACATAATGCTTTGACAAGGGTAGAAAACTTTAATACTTGAAGAGCCTCACGTTATTCATTCTCTTTACTCTCTTTGCCACTGTTTACTCCAAAGGAACTTACAATAATGTTTTAAATTCTATATATGTTGGCATTTTCTTCCTGATTCAAAAGTTTTATTTCTTTTAAAACAAACATTTCATCATTCCTCAATCAGTAAGACATCGAAGTACAATTTTTTGTGTGTCAAAATAGTTCTAGTTTACCACCAAATTCTTGTCTAGCCTAATGTATACCCCTCCCTCCCTCCCCCCTCCCCCCCAACCCCCCTCCTCCTTCCCCCCCCACTTCCCAGAACCCGTACACAGTATGGATTTTTAACAC